GAAGTTGAACATGGCTTGTTCTAGGTTCTAGGATCTCGGTAGCACACAGAAAAGGCAACAGGAACATTTAATAATATGAGCAGCAGGGCAGTCAGTCCTTAACAGGTTCCCCCTTTGACTCTCAATAAACAATAACCACATTGCTCCTCCAAAACTTAGAGTCAGAGACAAAAAAGAAGAGACTTCCTCCCATAGAGATTTATTTGTCATGGAGCTTTCAAAAAGTTAAGCGTTAACTAGGGGGCTTAGAATGGAAAGCTAACCACCATGTCATACCAAATAAAAGCACAGCACAGTATCTACAAAAGATTACCCAAACAAGATTACCCAAACAAGTCACTCAGTAGGAGAGGAACTTGTAGTTGTTTTTCCAGCTGTTTCTAGCAATCAAATCCAATGCTTTGGCATATTATTGTGGTGAAATGTTAATATACCCAATCCTTTGTGAATATCACACAACAGGCCTACTGTACCATTGTAATCAACTGAATAAATAGTTATTGAACACCTACTACATACAGGACATTTGTGTTCTACACCAGCTATCAGAAAACTATGTCTCGTGGGCCAAATTAAGGCCACTTCATGTTTTTCATATAGTAAGCAAGGTAGGAATGATTTTCACATGTTTAAAATGTCTTAAAATTGTCTTCAACCTCTATTACCAAACACTGAATGGCTCTAGAAATTAGCTTTTGCTGAGGTCTTGATAATGTTTCTTAATTAACTTAATGTAAAATTATAAGGCAAAATAGCATTTATATGTGAAATTTATACTGGAGTAAAGTTATTTTGACAACTACATTGTTTGAATCACAGGTAATTTCAAGATGCATTTATACACTTCCTATGCTGTCACAAGTCAAACAACAAAATAACAAAATACCATTTCACACCCACTAGAATGACCATAATAAAAACAAAATACATTAATAAGTGTTGGTAAAGACGTGAGAAATTCTAACCCTCATGCATTGCTGGTAGGAGGGAGAAATGATGTAGTCACTTTGGTAGAGCGTGGCAGTTACTTGCAAAGTTAAACAGACTTATCAGATAACCTAGCAATTCCATTCCTGGATGTGTAACAACAGAAATGGAAACATATGTCTGTATAGAAACTTGTACACAAATGTGTACAGAAGTATATTCATAATAATCAAAAGGTGTAAACAACCCAAATGTCCATCAACTGGTGAATGGATTAAAAATATATAGTATAGTCATATACTGGAATAGTATTCAGCCATAAAAAGAAACAGTGCACTGATACATCAATGCTAAAAATTGGATAAACTTCAAAAACATTATGCTAAATGAAGAAAGTCAGACACAAATTGTTCATACTATTTATATGAAATGTCCAGAAAATTCATATTTGATATGAAAAGACATGATTGCCTAGGACTGTAAGTAGAAATGAGGGGTGGGGCAGTGATAGAAAATGGACATGAAATTTCTTTTCAAGGTGACAGAAATGATTTAAATAAGAATGTAGTGATGATAATATAACACTAAAATATACTAATAAATAATCATTAAATTGGGCCTCCCCGGTGGCACAGTGGTTGAGCGCTGGGTTGCGGGGCTGCCTGCAGCCTCTGCAGCGCTGGTTCGATCCCCAGCATCGGGCGAGGGTCCCACATGGCGCGCAGACCTCTCCTGCAGCCCACTGCTCCCCTCAGCAGCGTACTTCGTCAGTCTGCCTGCTCTGCTCTCCCCTCCGGCTCTGGTGAATTCTCTCACCCTCCCGTGCTTCTGACTGTGCTCAGTGCTTGTGTAGATAAATAAATAAATCTTTTTAAAAAATCATTAAATTGTACATGTAAGATAAGGCAAAACTACAGAGTCAGAAATCAGTTCAGTAATTGTCAAGTGCTAGTAGTGAGGGGAAAAGTGACCTTACAAAGGGGCATGAGGATATGTTTGAGAGTAATGGACATATTTTGTATCCTGATTGTGGCGGTGGTTATATAACAATATATATTTACCTAAGTGCACTGCATTTTACACCTACAGAGAATAGGATTTACTGTATGTAAATTACACCCCAATAAAACTGACTTTTAAAATAAGTTAAAACAAGAAGCAAGATGTCCATTCCCACAAAAAATCTGCAGTATATATATTTTCTGAGTTCAAACTATAGTTCTATCAGTGGTTTTTAGACCTTGAGGCAAGTGCAAGGGGAATGTCTATATTCTAAATTCTATTTAATTGTAATTGAGGAGCTTTCATCTTACTTTCTATTGGAAGTGCTTAATCTGCAAAGCAATGACCTGCTAAAAGGCAAATATTAAGAAAGGAACCAAACAGAATTCTATTCCTACCAATGAACATGCTCAATTAAAATCACATGCTGCGTACTCTTGATAGTATATGAGAATGACACTTCATTTCTGTAGACTTGGATAGGACACCATCCAGAGATAAACTAGTGAAACTGGAATAAAATAAAATGTAGAGGTTAGATAATAGTAATATACCAACGTTGGTTTATTAGTTGCAATAAATATAGAAGAGCAATGTAAGATGTTAATCATAGTGGATTCAGCAAAAAATGCTTGGAAAATTTGGAAGTCTACATGGAAAAAGATGACTTGAGACCTGCACCTCACACTATATGGAAAAGTTTACTCAAAATGGATCACAGATTTAAATGTTAGAGCTAAAACAATAAAATGTTTAGAAGAAAACAGAGGAGAAAATTATTAAGACCTTGGCTTAAGCAAAGATTTTTAACACCAAAGACATAGTCCATAATAGAAAAAAATAAATTGGATCTTACTATAATTCAAAACTTTTGCATTTCAAAAGACACCATTAAGAAAATAAAAAGACAAGCAAAGACTGGGGGAAATAGCTACTTCACATATCATATGTCTGGCAGGGACATAATCCAGGATATATAAATAATTCTAACAACTCAATAATAGAAAGACAATACAAATAATAACTCAATTTAAAAATGGAAGATAGGAACAGATATTTCATCAAAAATAATATACAAATGGATAATAAGCACATGAAAAGATGCTCATCATCACGTTTTTAAGGAAACACAAATTATAACCACAATGAGATATTTTATAGCCATTTAGAATGGTGATAATGAAAAAGACAGTAATAAATATTGGTGAAGATGTAGAGAAACAGAAATCTTCATACATTGCTGGTGGAAATACAAAATAGTGCTGAAGCTTTGGAAAACTGTATTTCAGTTTCTTAAAAAGTTAAACATAAATTTGCTATATGATCCAGTTATTCCACCCTTGGGCATCTACCAATGGGAAATGAAACATGTCCACATAAATACTTGCAAGTGAATGTTCTTAGCAGCAATGATCATAGTAACCAAAAATTGGAAACAACCTACATGTCTATCAATTGGTAAGTAGACAGACAAAATGTGTTACAGCCCTAAAATGGAATACTATTTGGCAGTAAAAAACTAATGAAGTACTGATCATGTTACAATATAGATGAATCACAAAAGTATTATGCTAAATGAAATAAGTCAAGCACAAAAGGCCCCATGTATGACTTCATTTAGATATAATGTTCTGAAGAGGCAGATTGATAGAGACAGAAAGTAGGTTAGTGATTATCTAGGGCTAGAAGTGGGAAGGAAGATTAAATGTCAATGAACATGCAGGATCTTATTGAGGGAGTGGGAAATGTTCTAAAATTGATTATGGTAATGGACACATCACTCAGTAAAGTTACTAAAAATCATTTAATTATACAATTGAAATGGGTGAATTTTATGATATAAAATATATCTCAATGAGGCTGTTAAAGTAGAAAAAACAGTAGGAGAAAGTGAGGAGGTATACAGGAACTGTGCACTATCTCTGCAACTTTTCTATAAATTTAAAGCTATTCTGATGTTGAAATTTTATTAAATAAAAATAAAAATTAAATAAGAACATATTTGCAGATTGATACTATGACCTGGAATCTCAATGTGAAAAGACCTTTTCAAAGTTAAAATAGGTTAAATCTCATTACAGATCAGCATTAACAGATAACATTTGGAATGATTTTAATGATACAGAACACTGTCTGTAAATCCCAATTAAAGAGAACGTTATCTCCCCACAAAAATTCCATTGCTCTGATTAGTAGTCCTGTATTACAAAATTCAATTATTATTATTATTATTTTTATTTCATTAATAAACATTTGTTGAAATTAGTTTTCTCTCTGTTATATGAGTATCTACAAAATATTCTCGATTTTGCCTTTTGACCCACAAAGCCTAAAGTATTTACTACCTGGTTTTTCAAGGAAAGTTTGCCAGCCCTATTCTGCACTGCAACAAGAGAAATATAAACATAATCAGTCTCTTTCTTGTGTGTATTCTTATCATTACCTAGTTTTTGGCATAATGCACTATAAAGAATAAGCCTTGCATCTCTCTTCTGCTATGACACTATTTGGGATTTCCATAAATAGAAACATTATTAGCTTAAGAGTTCTAGCAAAGTCTCCATGTCATTGTTATTATCGTGATATTACAGGGCCAACACCATACCACAATATCAAGTTGACCGTCATCAAGTTGTGATGTCACCAGGCCACGGACTCACTGAGATCTCTTGGATATCAAGTGGCTCCTATGGCATCACACCCCGCCTTTGGCATCACCCTGGCACATCACCTTACTGTGGTGTCATATGCTATCACTGCTGTGACAGAATTCTGCCCTGATGCCACTCCACCGAGACGTCAGAATAATTATACCCTGCTTCTTCCCACTTCTTTGGCAGCGGCGGGGGTGGTGGAGGGGTAGCCACCGCCACCAGTACGAGCTTAGAAGGTAGTGCTCAGTTCCGAACAGTGTCCCTTCCGCCTGCCACGGCAGCTCAGGGCCCCCACAAGACAGGACCTTTAGGTGCCCATAACTCTCTTGCCATGACCCCGCACCCGTTTCGTGTGACCGAATCTGTGGCCCAGCCGCGACCACCCACCCGGGTTCCTCGCGAAGCCGTTCTCCGTACCTGACTCCATTCTCCAGCTGTCATCCTGGGCCAATTCCACCGGCCGCTTGACTACGGCGGCCGCTAGGGACCCTGGGACTTGTAGTTCCACTCTGGTAGGGGTCGAGTCTGTGCGGGCCGCAAAGGCACCTCCCTGCCCGGAACTGCCCTCAGACTGCAACTCCCAGAGGCGCCGCGTGATGGGAAAAGACCAAGGGACGAGGACGATCAGTGATTGGTGGAGGCCTTCGGGCTCTTTTGATTGGCAGTAGGAGCCGGCGACGTGAGGCGGTTGATGGTCGCGCTTCAAGGAGATCCTGGGAAAGCGAAATGGAGGGGTGTGTGTCCAATCTAATGGTCTGCAACCTGGCCTACACCGGAAAGTTGGAGGAATTGAAGGAGAGGATTCTAGCCGATAAATCCCTGGCTACTAGAACGGACCAGGTAAAGCAGCGCTGGGGCCTCTCCGCCGCCGGCGGCCGAGGCAGCGAAGCCCCTACGTGCCTGCCTGCCCCGCGCGGCCCAAGCGGAGGCCGGTAGCGTGAGGGCCGCATCCCCGCCCCCGCCGCCCCATCCTTATCCCGGGGTCACTTCAGGACTCACAATCGGGCGGCAGTAGCTAGCCCCGCAGACCTCGAATATTTTTTCGGACCCAGTTTTAGCTCACTGGATTCCTAGTACATTTTCCGCGTTTCACAGAAATGCCTAAGCTTTGAGATCTCCCTGAAATGGAAAGCTTTTTAAAAAAATTTATGGGTTTCTTTACTAGTGATTTAATTCAATGAAACACGTGTGGCGGAACACCTCTTCCGTGTCAGGCAGTTTGCTAGGAGCTGGAAGAAGCAGACCTTAATCAAGGAATCACAAAAACATGTGCCCGGTTACAAATTTTGGTAAATACTAGGGAGGACTTTACGTGTTGCTCTTAAGACTTCTAATGGCAGCACCCGATTTCACCTCCCTTGGGAGAGCTGGGTATTGTGGTGATTGTAAAGATTCGCCAAAGGGGGAGGGTTGGTTAGACCTTGAAGGATGAGTGGGAGTTTCCCTGGGGATGGACGGACATTTTACGCAAAGACAGAACAAAAGTGGATGGACCTTGGGAAATGTTTCTTTCTAGCCTCCTTCTCCAACGCTCCTTATTTTCACGCCATTTCTAAAAAGATTCATGGTGCCCTCAAAGAGACAACAAATATTTATAGATTGCCTCCTATTTGGCAGGCACCGTATTAAACCCTAGCGACACAGTGTCAATACTTATAAATCTCCATTTTGTGTCTTTGGGAAGAGACTTAAGAAACTTAGCTACTAAATGTTTCTTTCGACCCACTGTATATCCTGAATGAAGCAAGCCAACTGCCAAAAGACATCTGGAAGACAATTATGGAAATCTGAATATATCCTGGGTATTAAATGTTATAAAGAAGTTTGTGTTAATTATAATAAATGTAACAATGGCCTCACAGCTATGAAAGAAAGCACTCTTTTTTTTAAGATATTGAAATATTTAGGGATGAAGGCGCTTGATATTTATGATTTGGTTTTAAAAACCTCAGCAAGGGAAAAAAAAACTAGATGAAGCAAATATAATAAAATATTTATTAAATCTAGATGACAAACATGCAGATTTCTGTTACAGTCCCTTTATTTTTATGTTTGAATTTTTTCTATTAAAGTTTAAAATACCATTTTCTCTTACGTAGAGCTAAGAAATATAGCCATCATTGCAAAGAGAAACATGACTAACTCATAGCTTTTTATTTTTTTTTATTTTTTTTAATAATAAATTTTATTTTTATATTCCCCCATACAATTGCAAACGCCCCATTCTGACCCCAATCCTTCCCCTCCCACCCCCCACCCCCCAAAAAGTGTCTCTGGTTCATAGTTTTTTGTTGATTTTGATTTTCACTTTCTTATATTCATTTTCCTGGTCCCTTATTTAAGTTTTCTAGATTCCTGCTAAACTCATAGCTTTTTAAAAGTAATTTTGTTGCGCTCTAATTCTGTGCCCAGTGTTCTTTAAATGGCAATATAGATCATCTCTACTCTTTTTTTTTAAACATTTCTTCCCCATAAGATTCATTTGTTCTTTCTAAAGAATCTAGAAATTTCAGAGTCAGAAAGACAAGAGTTTGTTTCCCAACTTCACCATTTACTAGCTGTGTGACCTGGGCCAACTTGCCTACCCTGAGGTGTCTTAGTTTCCTCATCTGTAAAATGGACATAACATCCACTGTATAGTATTGTGAGGACTAAATGAGATGGTAAATCACCTAGCACAGTGTCTAACCAAAAAAAGTACACAAATGATAGAAACAACCAAAGTTCTATTTCTCCCAAAGTGTTGAAATCATTGTCTTCCTCTCATGCTTTTATGGATGTATTCTGCCCAAAATATGATATTCCAGTCATCATTGTTTTCTCCCTGTTACTAAAACCTTGGTCTCTCCTATACTAGTAATATGGCTTATTTAAGATTACCTACCTGAAGATCCCATGTACTCCATTGTTGCTTTCATACTATGGGTTTGCCTGCCCCAGAATCAATGTTTTCTGTTTTCTTGCCTTAGTTTTTATATTTCTGTTCTAGAATTTTAATTTTACTGCTTCTCTGTTTCCCTTGTAGGACAGCAGAACTGCATTGCATTGGGCATGCTCAGCTGGACATACAGAAATTGTTGAATTCTTACTGCAACTGGGAGTGCCAGTGAATGATAAAGATGATGTGAGTACTAGGCAGAATTGATAAATCCCCAGTTATCTTTAGGTAGCAGATTGGTGTTTACCGAAGCTTTAGTATTAAGCTCACAAACAAAATTATAGCCTTTATGACTAAGAAGTTACAGCATAACTCCAGTGTCCAAGTACAGTTATTTTATGCAAACTAGTGTTTGCGTTACTTTAGAATGTTAGTTTTGCCACTCATACCCCATAGTCTAAAGTAAGCAGCCAAATCAAATTCTATTATGGTGACCCCTCAGAGACTACAAAACATTTTTATTATGTTGGAATTTGGGGAATGAATATTACTTCAATAATGAGGGCCTAACTATCTTTTTTTATTTTATTTTTTTTTCTTTTTATAGAGGCATGTTTTATTTATTTATTTGTTTGTTTGTTCGTTTGTTTTGTTTATACATGCACTGGGGACAGTCAGAAGCGCGGGAGGGTGAGAGAATTCACCAGAGCCAGAGCGGGGAGCAGAGCAGGCAGAAGGACCGAAGTACACTGCTGAGGGGAGCAGCGGGCGGCAGGAGAGGTCTGCGCACCATGTGGGACCCTCCTGCACCATGTGGGACCCTCCTCCGGTGGCCGGGGAGCAGCCGGGAATCGAACCGGCGCTGCAGAGGCTGCGGGCAGCTTCGCAACCCAGCGCTCAACCGCTGCGCCACCGGGGAGGCCCTAACTATCTTTCGTGTTATAGATTTATTATAATGATATTGGTTGCAGTAGGATAAGACTTAGGAAATATAAGTGTGGCAACTTTTTTATAGGTAAAGATTCTTTTTCACAATGCTCACTGAAGTAATATTTATAATAACAAAGAATAAAATAATTGAAGAATGGTTGATTATAGCAGGTATATTCATGTTATAGTAATATGCCGCCTATAAAGTTATAAGTCCAAAGAATAACATCAAAAAATTCTCACAAAATAAAGATTTGTGGAAAATGTAACTCACAAAACTTTATGTCCTATGGTCCCAATTGACAAACACATTGGAATTAAATTTATATATCATTTTCTCTGTGCGTTGGTGGTTATGGGTGGTATTTCTTTTCTCTTGTATACTACAATTCTGGTTTTTCAATTTCCTGCAGTGCTTAATGAAGAATAAATATTTTTTAAAACTTCACACACTGCTTTTTGTAAAACCTGCCTAAAACGTTAACGTTAATCCGTGTGCCTTTCCCCCTGCTTTGGTACTTCCCATCTTTCTTACAGGCAGGTTGGTCTCCTCTTCATATTGCTGCTTCTGCCGGCCGAGATGAGATTGTAAAAGCCCTTCTGGGAAAAGGTGCTCAAGTGAATGCTGTCAATCAAAATGGCTGTACTCCCCTACATTATGCAGCTTCCAAAAACAGGCATGAGGTAGGGCTCCTCATTCTTGGTCTACTTCTTTTGAGTTCTAAACCTGTGCACAAACAGAGATCTCTGCATTGTTGTTTTCTCCATATTTCCAGATTGCTGTCATGTTACTGGAAGGCGGGGCAAACCCAGATGCTAAGGACCATTATGAGGCTACAGCAATGCACCGGGCAGCAGCCAAGGGTAACTTGAAGATGATTCATATCCTTCTGTACTACAAAGCATCCACAAATATCCAAGACACTGAGGGTAACACTCCTCTGTAAGTGACAAGTAGCAGTCATTTGTATTCTACCTGACACTGCCCTCTTGCACTAATTACACATCATTGTGTTTTTGTTCTACACTTGATCTTAGCCCAAAGGCCAAGAAGCAATCATTGTGTTTTTATTCTGCTTATAAATATGATAGTTTATGGCAAAAATAATTTGAAAGTACACAAAAGTATAAAGACCAAAAATAAAAATTGCCTATTATCTCGCTATCCAGAAATAACCACAGATAACATTTTAGTATACTTCCTCCTAGTCTTTGTATGCAAATGTTTGTAATTTGCATATATTTCTTTGCAAAATTGGGATTATACCATGTATGTAGTTTTTATGTCATGTTCTTTTCACCTTATAGTACTATTGTGAGCATTTTCCAATGTTATTAAATAGTTTAACAACATTTAAAAATACCTATATGCAATTCCATTTTATGGATGTGCCACAATTTAATAATTGTTCTATTACTATATATTTAAACTTTTGAGTTTTCCACTGATAGAAATATTACTCCATTGGCCAACTTTGCACAAAATTTTTAGCCATATTGTTGGTTAATACCTTAGTAAAGGCTCTAATAAGTTGAATTGCTAGGTCAACAAATACACACATTTTAACAGTATAATTATGAATTGGCAAATTGCTTGCAGAGGAGTTGTATCATTGGACCCTCCTAACGGCAGTTTGAGAGTTCCTATTTTCTCTTCTCCAAAACTGAAAATAACCTGTTGTTCTCTGAAAATGGTATTTCATAGCTGTTACTTTCATTTTGTAAATTATCAGTAAAAAACATTTTCTAATACCTTTAATGAATTATATTTCTTCTCTAAATTGTAACTTTTGTGTCTCTTTCCTTCCTTTTGGGGAATTAATTTTTTACTGATTTTTTAAGAACCCTTGACTTCATATAGTAAAAATATTAATCCTCTGCCATGGTAGTTGAACATATTTTTCCCAGTTTATCTTTTTCATTTGGTCCATAATTTTTTTTTTTTAAATAACAGAAATTTTCAGCTTCTATGAAGTCAAACCTATTAAGCTTCCCTCCTGACTGGAAAGTCCTTCCTCAC